CCAAAGATATTGAATTATACATGCTCAGGCCGCAGAAACGGAGGCAGACCGCGGAAAAAATGGGCACCGTAACAGGCATTAATGCCTAGTAGCTGATGTGAAGATGGTGATGGCCATGATCTCTTGTCCGGGTTCGGGATCGGCAGAATGAAAGCAGAGCTACTCAGGCGCAATTCTTGATCACTGAGAGCAAGGTCCGAATCTATAAGGCAACTGTGAAATCAAACACTGTAGAAAAATGGACAGAAAAGACCAAAAAAAGAACATAAGCCGAATAGGCTCGGGAGAGTAAGAAGACGATAGATAATATCAAAACAGATGTGCAAATTTTTTTAAAGCAAATTTATCATTTTGGATGCTAAATGATATTAAGATTAGGTTACATCGTTGCATTGAGTATTTTTTCAAAAATTTTATTTTTTGCCATTGTCAGAAAATGACGCCTGGTGGCAAAGTAAGCAATTGCAATCTGGTGTTACCGTTTTTTTAAATCTTATTCGATAAAACTAAAATTCTTGTCATCCATTCTTCCAAAGAAAAATCCGAGAATCTATAGAAATCTATAAGCAACCAAACACTCTTAACCGCGACTCAGGTCTTTACCTTTCACCAATTTTGGAGCAGTCATCTGAGGCAATGTTCATGCCCCTGCTTTAGGGCCGCCCCCTCAAACAATATATAATTCTATGACGACATAAAAAACAGTGGATACAAAAAGGAATTTTGATGGGATATTAAAACAATAACAGTTATATCCATTCCACAGAGGGTTCAAGCTTTTTTACCAAGATCACTTTTTTCCAATGCTTTCGCCTGTGATCGCTTTTGAGTTCAAAAATTTTCGTACGAAACTTGTTTCTCAATGCAATTCAAAACTCTCACAGGTATGTATAAACTGAAAATAATGTTTTCCGTTAGCATTTGGTTAGGAATGATAATATATTTTAGCCACAGATAGGTGAAAGCATTAAATATTACCCACTATTTTTCCGCATAAAATGGAAAAGTTTATTTTTTTTAAAAACTACTCAAAATTAAGGGAATTACTATTAGAAATATTCATAGCATCCCAATAAAAAAAATAAAGTTGGTTACTATCCTGGCACAACGGAACAGCCTGTATACATAAAAATACTATAAATAAAATATATACTTGGGATCAAACACTTTTTGTATTTAACTTCTTTCCTTCATCTTAAATGGACCATCCCGTACATATTGAGAGTTTAGCCTCTACTATTATTGGCACCAGCCACTGTATCATTGACCCAAAGAACCTCTTTTTGATGCTACAATAGTGTTTCTTGCTGTGTAATAATATCGTGTATCGTGTCAAGTCGTAGTCCAAATGGAGCAAAAGCAATAAAAAACAGTGTAAAAATCTCTTGCAAATGCTACTTAAAAGTTAGTTAAGAACATACCAGATTATGTCGTTAAATAACTGAGCGTCGAACTAGGTATCGTAAATACCACAAATTTGTGTTATGCCACGGAAGTGCACTGACTCACTTGCAACAAAATTTGTCGTTTTATATATTCAAACCCGATATCTCAAAACAAGAACTTGCACCTTAGGTCCCAATTCATATACATAGGCAGGCTTTTGTCTATTTGCGATATCAATGACACTTTTGTAAAGGTGTCACAAACAATAACAAAAGTGAGGTCAGTTACGCAATAGATTATTCTGAACTGCATAAAATATTTATTTTATATTTTAATGATGCTGTCTGTTTCTGATAATAGTTTCTGTTATATGTTTTAGTAATCAAGATTTTTTGGTTAGTTAGTGTAGTATATAGGAATTAAATATTAACATATGTTAAAACCAGAAATCAGAAATTATTTCTTTGAACTACTAAGTTACGCGGTGATCTTTGCATCAAAACTAACAATCCCTAAAATTTGGGTCAATTTCAAAGTTAATTTTCTTCTTCAGAAACCATACTATGAAAAATAATTTTATGTAAATTTAAGTTTTATGAACGCACACAAAGTTTCAACAAACACACAGTTTCAGTGTTTGTCGTTTTATCAGTTATTAAATGAAATTCGGTATTTAAAGTCAAATGAATACGTTTGCCAGATTTGTACTGCATGACAAGGGCATATTGAGACATTGGATTGGCATCCACGCAGTCCAAAACCCAAGGGGATCAAATAATCATTAGCATCAACATCCTGCCTCCTAGAAATATAGACCGACTAATATCGATCAAGCATAAATTAAAATTCTGGTCTCGCGTCTGGTTCAAAGTATGAGTCGTCAACATCAATCGGTTACAAGAAGTGATAATACTGTAGGTTGTTACGTTTGACAGAATAGTTTAATAAAAAAAAATGCTGAGAAAAGATGGGACATTGTCTTACGCAGAAACCGAATAGTGTTGATGAGAATTCCCACACGATGTGACCATGAGTATAAAATTGGTTTTTCTTCTCAAACTCTGTACATGCCCAAAACTTATATTTAAATAAAAACTTTTTATGTAATATCGTTTCTAAAGAATTAAGCTATAACATTAAAATTGAACCAAATTTTACGGGTGATGACGCAAAAAGAAAGGGGAAACCACCTACCAAATTTGAATAATTTTTTCCAATATATGTTTCGGTATATATAGTATATTCCCCAAATATTTCCCCGCATTTCTCACTTTTTAAGCTTTTTGAATCCATCTCCTTTGATTTCCTGCGCTCAAAAGGACCTTTCGAATAAGCTAAACCTAACAGGGTAAGAACATTAACTGGATAGACCATTTTCATAATATTGACAAGACTACTTTTTAATACAGGCCAATAAAATTAAGTAAAAAAAATAATTTTATATATAATATTTTGTTCTAAATGCGTGTAATCTGAGTTTGCACCATCCCAGATGGTGAGCTTAACTTTAGGTCCAAGGAAATCACATCTGTCTGAGGTGACGAAGAACCGTTGACCTGCTGAAATGAGAACTTCAGGATCTGCATTTTCATTATGAAAAATCGTGTAATGGTGTGTTTTTTTCAAGAAGCTTGACAAACTTCAACTTCCCTTAGTGATAAAATGCAGAGGTTGCACCACATCCACTGATTGCATGTAGCATCAGAATATTCTGTTTCACAACGGACAAGAAGTTCCAGTATACTTGGGAAAGTAGAAGGTGTTCCGAGAGGTTCCTTTTCCGGGTTTCATGAAGTAAATGGTATATGAATTTGGTGCTTTGCCGGTTAATGGAATTAATAAATCGGTAAATCCTACCCGATTATCATGACCGTCGCAAAGTTATCTGTCAACTGAATGGCTGTGTTGACAATTATTGTATCAACATCCTCTTTTTTTTCGTTTTTAACATTAGATTTCGGATATTTTACTTAACCGAATTAATTCCTCAAAATATATTAATCTGATTGGCCTAATAAGCTCAAAATGAAAGAGAGGGAGATGTAAGCCGTTTTAATCTATTTGAAGCGGATTTGGTAAAGGTGGTATATTTTGAAAATATAATGTTTCAAAATTATTCATCAATTTTAAAAAATGAAAACTTATTCATCCATTTTAAAAAATCAAACGGAGCAACTCCGTGGGGAAGAAGTAAAAGTAGTCGCTCTGGAACTTATTTTTGAATTTTGTCTAAAAGCACTTTCAATGTTGTGCTTAAAGCGCATTTCTAATTTAGTGGACAATTTATGAATTAGTAAGATGCTTGCTTCAAGTTGTTTGATTTGATTTGATTGTTTTACTTCTGTAGACGCACGTTTTGGAACACCAGGTATTAGACTTACGTACGAAATAAACCATTAACACATTTTAATTTATTTGGAGTGCAGGTTTTAATATTTTCCCCAAAATCGTTTCCGACTTTATTGAAAGTTACTTATACTCTATGCGAGCTCGTATCATAGAAAAAAGATATAACCATTTAAATTTCGACTTGACAGAGCAAAATATTTCCACATATTTACTCGTATTTCCTCACATTTTAGCATGGTTCCTAGGGGTGGTCTCTCACTCGCACAAAAACCAGCACTCAGTTGACTAAAAAATATGATATAAATTTAAAGACAGTCTTAAACTTTTACAGCAACGAAATTGACCTTTTTGGCATTGTTGAATTAATTTATACGACGCCTTAGGTTACGTCAATTACGTTACAAAATGAAAATAAATTTAAACAAAAAAAATAAAAGTATATCTTGGATCAAAAAATGTTCAAAAAGGTACCCATTCAATTCAACAGATTTACGAAACACATTACTTACTTAACTTTTCCCTTACTTCTAGAATACATTAATATTACTGTCCCTAACGAACTGTAGTGACATGAATGGTTTAATATCTATCAACTAATCGAGTAAATTGTCCAGGTGTGTATTTGAAAAAACAAATAACTAGAATGATTAAACATAGGAAACGTTTTTCAAGATCTCTATACACGGAACTAATCAAGAAAACGGGGTTTTTAAGACTTCTTGCGTACATAACTATGCCATAATTTAATGGAAGCTCAATCTCGAACTCTCATTCTAAGTATCTCGAATATCCCAGTGATATACGTGTCAAATTTGGGGAACCCGTTCATTTTCTTCCTTTTTTTATTTTGGATTTATTTCACGTCTTTTTTGGTGCTTCAGAAAAATATCAGTCCCATTTTAGCAAACTAGGACGCAATTTGAACCTCCTAGCCTTTGAACGGCGGTATTTCACATCGTTTTGAACAAAAAATCATTGGGCAAGTATTTAAACACTTAAACCAGTATTTAGAAATAGGTATGGACTTAGAACATAACATTTGAATTTAAACAAGGTAGATGTACTGCTTATTTCACCTTATCACTTAGGGTACAGAAACTATAGCCCTCTTACGAATAATAAATTGTCTTTTCTATCTGCTGAATGGCTTCCAATAACAAATTAGCACTTCAAAGCCATCCGAATTCGAACAGGTATTCAAAACCGAATAAATATTTAACAACTCTCAGGTATTTCTACCGCTGACAAGCTTTGTAACTGCTTACCTTCAGTCTATTTAGGTTGCCATCGCGGGCTGCATTGTACACTACACTTTTATAATCCATCTTTCGATATACCAATCTCGGCACTAGCAACAACTAAAACAGACCCATTTCGCAACTTCGTACGCGTTGCCGACAATGCACTAGTACCGCTAAATGATGAATTCCAAACAACAAAGTTAACAAAATCAACCTTGAAGTGAGACAGCTGACAAACGAGCGGCATTGCCGCGTTTTCAATTTTTCTGCCGGCGCTCTTCGGCCAGTCGAAAAACGATTACGGCAAATCTAAGATAAAAATTAAAAACGAAATCAAACAGATGCTAATTTATCGCATTGGCAATATTTGATCAAACAACCAAGACCATCAGTATCAGTTTTGGTGCAGAAAAGTAATAAGCAATTTTACAATTGGAGCCCTCTATGTGCGCA